CTCCTCTTTTTTTTTTTTTTTTTTTTTTTTTTTTTTTTTTTTTTTTTATTCTGGGCCAGTTTAGCTTTGAGGCTCCAGCTCTTAGGCCTCCACTCCTGAAAGCAGGTATCTGTTTTTTTTTCGGTTCTATAATCAAAACTCAGTATCAACTCCAGCTCTGAGATCCTGGCCTCCTGAAAGCAGGTTTCTGGGTTTTTGTTTACCTTCTATATTTGTTAAAATGTTTCAAACTGCAGGCTCAAAGGCCTGCAAGGCAGGCGGGGGAACGTTGGCTTCCTCCGTCACTGAAGCAAGCAAGCCTCATGTTAGTTTCAAGCTGCCTGGCTGCCGGCTGCCATCTTGGCTGGCAGTTAATTTGCATATCGCCCTGATTAGCCAATGGGCAGGGTAGTAGTCGTAAGCCAATTACCATGTTTCTCTTTTATTAGATAGGATACCTAGAACTTGTAACTTACTTTCCACCACAGCAGCTTAAACACATATCAAAACATACCACATAGCTATGTTTACAGCTAAAAAGGAAGGTCCTATACAAGTGATGATTAAAGTAAGTATTATAAGTTCAGATGTTGACACTGCTGGACCTGAGGAAGCCTTCTGGGACCTGGGGATGGCCTATAGCTGACAGCCAGCAAGAAGATAGCTTAAGTATAATAATACCAATCCTAAGTATAATAGTAAGAGTAAGTTAAAATGTTAACACTGCTCTCCAATATGCAAAAATAGGTATCAGGCATAAAACCTTCTCCATATTACCAAACAAATAATTTCTAAAAATACCATGATGAGAATTTTAGAACATCCTAATGACAACTAGAAAATATTTTCTATGCTAATGGTAGAATTATGGCCTAATTTAAGGAGACTGGACCCAGTCTTAAAATCATTCCTAACACACTGACAAATCTTTCTAGGCAATTTAAATAGGAACATCAGACACATTGTTAATGATGAACGAAGTACTCACCAGGAGTATGTCTCCTTAGTATGCCAACCTTAATTGTTAATTTTATTTTATATATGGTTATTGGAAAAATAAAAAGCTTTACGAAACAAAGTAAAAACCCTGGAAATATCAGATTGTGTCTATCAAAGCTAACCTTTTAGCACAGCAAAGTTGTAAATTTCAATAAGAAAAAAAGATGTACATGAATCAAGTGGAAATGCATTTATTAGATGAAACATGAATAGGCGATATTAAACTAATTAATGAGGTAATAAACAAAAAGTAATAAGCAGGGAGCTGGAACTAAGACATGCTAGCTTTTATCATCCTAATCAAAGTTCCTTAAATACTGCCTTTCCCCTTGCTTGTAACATCTCAAAAGGCACATTCTTTTTCATTCAAAAGCAGGGGTGGGAACCTTTTTACTGCCAAGGGCCATTTGGATATTTATAACATCATTTGAAGGCCATGCAAAATAATCAACTTAAATATCAAATTTTTAATTAGCCTGCTATATTTGGTCAAACGTTTAATTTACTCACCCCTAATGCCTTGGTTGGGGCTGACCAAATGATTTTGTGGACCTTATATGGCCGAGAGCCAGATGTTCCTACCCCTGTTCTAAAGGAACCAAGTAATGAGGACTTTCACAAGCAGTTATCTAGACTTACCAAGAAAAACAGTGGGAGGACTCAAATAAATAAAATTACAAATGAAAGAAGAGATTACAACTGATACCACAGAAATACCCAAGGTCATAAGAGACTATGAAAAATTATATACCAAAAAATTGGATAACCCAGAAGAAATGAATACATTTTTCCAGAAACATACAACCTAAACAACCGAATCATGAAGAAATAGAAAACCCGAACAGATCAATTACTAGTAAGGTGATTGAATCAGTAGTCAAAACTATTTCAACAAATAAAAGCTCAGAATTAGATGGCTTCGCTGGTGAATTCTACCAAACATTTAAAGAAAACTTATACCAACCCTTTTCAAACTTTCCCCAAAAACAGAAGAAAAGGGAACCAAACTCTTTTTATGAGGACCGTATTACCCTGATACTGTAGCCAGACAAGGAAAGTACAAGAAAAGAAAATTACAGGCCAATATCCCTACTGAACATACTGGTAGATGCAAAAATCCTTATACACCACTATTAAGTAGGTTTTATTCTAGGGATGCAAGAATAGTTCAGCATCCTCAAATCATTTTTTGTGATACACCATGCTATCAAAATAAAAGATAAAAACATATAACCACCGCCATAGAAACAACAAAGCATTTGACAAAACTCCACTTCCTTTCATGATAAAAACTCAACAAACTGGGTATAAAGGAAACATAGCTCAACATAATAAAGGCCACAAAACTCTGTTGCATTTCTATATATCAACAATGAACTATCAGAAAGAGAAATTAAGAAAATAACCCAATTTTAAAAGCATCAAAAAGAATAAAATAGTTAGGAATAGATTTAATCAAGGAGGTAATTTAATCTGTACACTGAACTATATAAGACATTGATGAAAGAAATCAAGAAGCTACAAACAATTGGAAAGATACCATGTTCATGGATTGGAAGAATTAATATTTTAAAATGTCCATAGCACCCAAAACCATCTATAGATTCAATGCAATCACTACCAAAATTCCAATGGTATTTCCACAAATTTTAAAAAAATTCTAAAATTTGTATGGAACCATAAAAGACCCTGAATAGCCAAAGCGATCTTGAGAAAAAGGACAAAACTGAAGGCATCATGCTTCCTTATTTTAAACTCTACTACAAGGCTATAGTAATCAAAACAGTATGGTATTGGCATAAAAACAGACACACACAGGTCAATGGAACAGAACAGAGAGCCCAGAAATAAACGACACATATAGGGTCAAATAATTTATGACAGGATAGCCAACAATAGTGAATGGGGGAAAGGATCGTTTCTTAAATAAATGGTATTGGGAAACCTGGGCAGCCACATGCCAAAGAAGAAAAATGAACCCCAATCTCACACAACCTGGGAAAAGAATATGTACCTCTTTATATCCTGTGCCTATAACAGTGTGCTCAATAAATATTCATAAAAAGATGATAAAATGAGTAGAAAAATTAGAATCAAATTACTATAACTTAGATACAATTGACATCTAAAAGTCCAAATTCTTTTTCTAAACGTAACTAGTTTCAATAATCACTAAAATTATAAATATGTCAACAAATAGGTAAAAAATAACTAATTAATTTACTGACCATACACACACACATCTGAATTTCTGAAGTGACAAAATTAAAACTGTTACTAACTTTTATTAACTTCTCATAGAATTAGGCTAAGGTACACTGGTAATACTGAAGAATGCATGACTCTAATATTCATAATATTTTATCCCTGAAATTTGGTGTCTGCACAATAATATCTTCATTTACCTGGCTTTTACCTATTAACACTTACCTAATAACTTTAAATGATATTTACAAAACTTCTTTGGTCCAAATAGCTGCTACTTTCAAACTATTTTCTAAAATTCACATGGCACAAGATCTCTCCATATCATTAAACAGTACATTCCATTAACTTTCATTTATGCTTTCTAAAATGCACAAAAGTTATACACATGCAATTAGGAAATATGTCTTATTAGGGTAAGATAAAATTGAATTAATAAAGATGGTACAAAACACCTTCCCCTCCAGAAATACATAATAACTACCTCCCTGCCCTCTGTGTAATACTATGAAGGTATTCCAGAAGTTTATTAAGTAATAGCCTATTCTGAAGTGTGGCCTAGGGCTTGTGATAGTATGTCATCTGCAGGTCATGTTACTACCTGTATTTTGTACAGAGTAACTGACAAAAATAAAATATGTGACTGATCCACTGAAATTACTAGGGTTGCCTGCTTTCTGTCAACATGTCATCAATCCTTCCTGATTATCTCGTCTGAAGAATTTCCAAAATTCCTGATGCAACAGCTTTTAGCAATTTCTTACAAAAAGAGAAACTGCTATAGTTATGGTTGAAACATCTGGAAAACCTGGGTAATGCCAAAGAGCACATATCCTCGCAATTCAAAGCGTTAAACATAACACCATTAGTTAAAATTTGTAGTCATTATAAAAATGCAACACCTAAGTATTATTACAACTCTTCATATAAATATAGTATCAAATTGCATTATTTTGCAATATTGTAATAATAGTACCTATATATAGGCCTTCTTATTCTCACATCTCTTAAATTGAAAGTTGAGAGTGTAATCTTCAAAAGGGACAGCTGTGAGTGATGGCTCATTAAGAGTAACAGGAACTAAAGGGCTTGTATTTCCTTCTAAATCTATAGGTTACTACAGTGGTCAGCAAACTCATTAGTCAACAGAGCCAAATATCAACAGTACAACGATTGAAATTTCTATTGAGAGCCAAATTTTTTAAACTTAAACTATATAGGTAGGTACATTGTTATTAACTTAATTAGGGTACTCCTAAGCTGGCCTTTGCTAAAAACGTCCTCAATCTGATTGAGGTACATTCGCTGAGGTCAACTTCTTCCAACTCTCCCATCCACACTCATCTTGTATACTTGTTTCGTCTATCTCCTTTCCGAAAACTGACTTCTGTGCATGGGCCACGAAGCTTCAATCGCACTATACGTGCGTGCCTGCACGTGGTATTTTGTGAAAGAGCCACACTCAAGGGGCCAAAGAGCCGCATGTGGTTCGCGAGCCAAGGTTTGCCGACCGCTGGGTTACTAAGTTCAATCTTATAGCCAGAACACTCTTGAGGTAAGCTGATCTCTAACTTGTACAGCAACTCAATCTCCTCCTTCATGCAAAGCAGTAGAGAGCCGGTCAGGTGTGACTCATCACACCCTTCCTTCTTAAGGCATGTCATCATTTATTCTTTTTAAAAAAAATCAGATAAAATTCACATACCACAAAATTCACCTTTTTAAAGTGTATAATTCAGTGACCTTTAGTATATTTACAAAATTGTGCAACCATTAATTCTTATCTTATTCCATAACATTTTCATCATCCCCAAAAGCAGCGGTTCTCAACCTGTGGGTCGTGATCCCTTTGGGGGTTGAACGACCCTTTCACAGGGGTCGCCTAAGACCATCGGAAAACACATATATATTACATATTGTTTTTGTGATTAATCACTATGCTTTAATTATGTTCAATTTGTAACAATGAAAATACATCCTGCATATCAGATATTTACATTACAATTCATAACAGTAGCAAAATTACAGTTATGAAGTAGCAACGAAAATTTTTATGGTTGGGGGTCACCACAACATGAGGAACTATGTTAAAGGATCGTGGCATTAGGAAGGTTGAGAACCACTGCCCCAAAGGAATCTCTTACCCATCATCTCTTAGCAGTCACTCTTCATTCCCTCATTTCCCCTGGCCTGATAACCACTAATCTACTTATTAGATTACATAGATTTGCCTATTCTGGACATTTCAAATAAATAGAATCATACAATAGTTGATTTTTTGTGTTTGGCTTCTTTCACTTAACATATAAGGGTAATTCCTGTTGTAGCATTAGTCAGTATTTGATTTCATTTTATGGCTAAATAATATTCCATTGGATGAACATGAAACATCCACTCATACAAATGTTGACTGAAGGATATTTAGGTTGTTTTCATTTTTTTTTTGGCTATTATGAATAATACTACTAACATTCATGTCCAAATTTTAGGGTGGCATATATTTTAAGTTCTATTGAGTATATACCTAGAAATGAAATCGCTAGGTCATATAGTAATTGTTTAACTTTTTGAGAAACTGCAAAACTGTTTTCCAAAGCCATTATACCATTTTACATTCCCACCAGAAGTGTAAGAAGGTTTCAATGTTTCCACATCCATGCCAACACCTAATTGTCTTTTTTATTATATCTATCCCAGTGGGAATAAAGTAGAATCTCATTGTGGTACTGATTTACATTTCCCTAAAGGCTAATGATGCTGTGCTTACAGGTATCTACCTTCCCATTTTGTGAATTATTTCACTTTTTTGATAGTGTTCTTTCAGAGGTTTACACTTTGGTCAAGTCATATTTCCCTGATTCTTCATATCCCTCTAAGCTTGAATAAGTGTCTAGGCCAGTGATGGTGAACCTATGACACACGTGTCAGAGGTGACACACTAACTGACTTTTTTGGTTGATTTTTCTTTGTTAAATGGCATTTAAGTATATAAAATAAATATCAAAAATATAAATCTTTGTTTTACTATGGTTGCAAATATCAAAAAAATTTCTATATGTGACACGGCACCAGAGTTAAGTTAGGGTTTTTCAAAATGCTGACATGCCGAGCTCAAAAGGTTCGCCATCACTGGTCTAGGCATTTAAAGAAGCAGTCATCTCTACATTTTATGGAAGACTTTGGAAAGAGAGACTTTCACTTATGGCTGGGGGCATATTTGAGCATATTGTGATCCCAAGTTTGGGGACATGTGGTGACATCAGGTCTAGTGCGGGGGTGGTAGGAGGAGGGCGTTGATATATTTTGGTTTCAGTCTGCTAGGATCCATAGCACTGACAATTGTATGATCCCTCGCAAGCGCGGTATGGGATCTTCAGTGGCTGCAAGGGCTCCGTGGTGCCTCCAAGTCCAGCAGCTAGAGAGCAGGTGGTGGTGGCTGGAGCCAGTGGTGTGCGCACTTGGCTGCAGGGACCAGCTGTGTAGTGGCAGGGGATGGAAGTAGACACACAAGTAGTGGTGGGAAGCAGGGTAAGCAGCAAGGGCCAGAGCCACCTATGGGCTTACCGGCAGCATATGCGGGTCCCCTGGCTGTGGGCATGCTGTCCCATTTGCTATAGTCTCCCCCTGACTAGGCATATGCACTGTAATGGAGACTGGTCTAGGGTACACAACTGAAGGGACTAGCTGCAACTGAGTTTGGTGGGTGGTGCAGGCCTGTGACAAAAAAAAAAAAAGGACCTGATCTGAGCCCACAAGAACCTGTAGAGGCCCTGGCTGTTGGTGCCCTCTCCCATGTTGACACAGTCTCCCCTTGGACAATTGCACATAGTGGAGGCCAATAACAGGCATCAGGCCAGTGGCGTGGTGTGCCAATGCACAGCTGAAGGGGCTAGCCTGAGTGTGCACACAGCATTGGAGGTCAGCCATGGTTGTCTAGGCTGGTGCCTTTTGCTTATGTTGCCGCAGAAGCCTGACCTGGTGCAGTTCCCAGGCTTCAGCAGCAGAGGAAATGGGAAGGAGCAAGGAGGGACTCAGGCAGCTGGTGTCAGCAAATACAAAAAAGCTGTGGGGTGAGGCAAATGCTGGTGAAATCTGCAGAAAGTCCATGGCTGTGCTGGACAGGTCTGTAGAATAGGGCACATTGATCCATGAGTGCTCCGCTGCTATCAGTAGCCCTGCTTTTCTTCCTTGTTCCTAGCCATGTCTACATATCTTAGCTTTGCCAGTCTAGGGGAGGTGAAACCCAAGTGGGACCTTTGCACGGTATCCTGAAAGGCTGAGGAAGCTAATCATTCACCCTTCTCTTCCTTCCTGGGCAAGGTGAATTATGTAGAGCTGGGAAGTTCCCTTCAGGCACTGAGTACTGCCAGCTTGGGAGATGGCATGATGAAGCCAAAATGAAGGTGTCTCCCTTCTCTTGCATTTTTTTGCTTGTTCTGTTGTTGTTGTTTATTTTCTACTAGAGGCCTGATGCACGAAATTCGTGTGGGCTCGGCCCTCTCAGCCCCTGCTTCGACCGGAAGGTCATCCAGAGGATCGTTCTGCTGTTCGGTCTAATTAGCATATTAGCTCTTATTATATAGAATACACAAGATCAAGTCACCTGCAATAAGGATAATTTCACTTCTATTTCTTTTTCTTACCTAACTGCTCTAGTTAAAAACTATAGTACAATATTTAATGGAAGTGGTGTTGGCAAAAAATGTTGTCTTATTCCTATCTTAGGGGAAAGCTTTAAGTCTTTCACCACTACAGTGTTAGCCAAGGGTTTTCTCTAGATGTCTTTTATCAGCACTGACCCTTGATTACTTTTTTTTTTTAATTGTTTTATTGCTTAAAGTATTACAAAGAGTATTACATATATCTCCTTTTTTCCCCACCCTTAACAATCCCTCGGCCTCCCCTACCTCCCAGTGTCTTATGTCCATTGGTTATGCTTATATGGATGCATACAAGTCCTTTGGTTGATCACTTACACCCCTCCTTTCCCTCCCAGCCCCCCCTGCCTCTCAACCCTCCCCAGGTTTCCCACTGTACTTTGACAGTCTGTTCGAGGCAGCTCTGCCTCTGTATCTATTTTTTAAAAATATATTTT